TAAACTGTTTAATGTGCACTCCGTAGCACGGAGGAGGTCAAGATAATAAATTTTTGGTCACCCATCCTATGGCCGGCCCTCGTGAAAGTTGCTTAACCTGATCGAAAACTAAACGCACTATCGCTTTTAAGCGCATATCATATTCATTTTACATGTATATTAGTATTAAATAACCATATTTTTTCCTTATATATCTTGAGTTATTATGGAGATGTGGAATATTTCATTAATTTCTAACCAAGTCGAAACAGCATTTCAAATAACTCAAAAGCTTTGCAAGCTAATAGAAGTTATAAAAGACGTGCCAACTTCAGCTCCGAGTGTATAAGCTCTTAATAACTAGAGCTATTCTCAAAAGTAGAGCTCAAACGATGTCTAGGAATATGAAAGTTACCGATTCACAATGCTTATATAGAGGAAAGATTTGATTAAATGTTTGTTTTTGTATGAGCGTTAATTTGTGAAAGTGTTGGCATTAAATAAGCTCAAAAACTATTAAACTTATATTTTTTTTTTTCACTTACGGGAAGCTACATCATACGCGTATGAAATAAGCTATACTTGACGCAGTCACACCGTTAGTCATTTAATAAGATGCTGAACAAATCAGCATGATATACAGTCAGTTGCACAAATGTCCATTAAAATTTTCATAAGTTTAAAGCGACATAACCCATACAAATTTAACATTCATTAAAGCTTAAAGGCGTCATTAAACCTTAATGAAAATTTGTGCAACTGAACCATAGACAAATGAAAAATAGAAACATACATTTGAGGAGGAGGAGGTGCATTGGATATCACTTTCGGTTTACGATGCCGGAGTTAAACGACTTCTGCAATAGCGGCCAGTGGGATGGGTGACCGAAATTTTATAATCTCAAACTCATCGGTGCTTCGATCGGAATACTCATAAAACCGTTGCTTGTTAAATTACAACTAATCAAAGCTACTCTGGTCCCGCGTGGTGGGTGATAAATGACCCTTTTTCATATTTAGTTCTATCGATAGGGTCTGAAGAAGGTCTGTGCCTCAGTAATAACTACTGATGATACATCAGTGGAAACTGATGATTAAATTAACGATCAACTGAGATTCACGCAGACTCAATTGATAGAATTCATTCCATAACTCCCAACTAATTTCTAATAAAGTAATAATGGTTTTTTATTTACATAGTAAAATAAATAAATATACATAGTAAAATGTGTTTGTTACATTCAAAGAGCATTGAACCTTGTTACTATATATTGTGCATTAGTGTAAACAAAGGTCGACAAATAAATTTGTATTAATAGTAAACTGATGCAACAAACAGAGCGATATATCTTATTGATTCAATCTAAAACTAATTGCAATGCGCAAATAAAAATTAATTCATGCTGAAGAACACATTTACCTGTGCTCCTTGGTGTGAGGATGAGAACATTATCAACAAAGGCATTTCTTTTGGTTCTTTTGGTTTGTTTATTAATTCATTGCCATATTCTTTTGGATCCTGAAAATGGTCTTGTGACTATCAGAAAACCGTGTTAAAAGTTAACAAAATTTGAAACGTATTAAATATTTTTCTTTAAATAAATTAAAATATTAATTGATAGACTGAATCTTAAAACCGATTTTTCCGAATAACTCAAGTTTTATACCTTGCACATGGCAAAAAGTCCAAGTTTTATCAAACTGATATCAACTAATCATTAAAAAAATTTAAAATCACAAACGAAAACCTATTTAAGCGACGTTAAAAATGGTTTAAGTGCGGTTTGACACGGGCTTAACTTTTTTAATTCTCAATTCAGAAACCGGGAGTATGTCAAGTTCTGCATTAAGTGTTTTTATCTAATAAGTAATTTATCAAACAATAGCATCAGCCGATATTATTAGATTTTATTAAAGACATATAGCGTAATTCACTTAATATATTATAATATGATAAATGATGACAATAACAACACCTTTCAGAGGATTATGATGTAAGATGTATCAACAGAATGTACCTATATATCATAAATATTGACCACACAATCATAACCATATTTCAAAATTCAAAAACGACGTCTCACTATAAAATTGAATATTGTGGAACGGCAATTCTTACCTGTTAAGAGTACCATAATGGTTCGGTCTCAGCATTTTCCTATTACGACTTTAAACGACAATATATCAGGATAGGTGTCTCCAACAAAACGAACCAATAATACATTTTTTTCGCTCTTTCTCCTCTTGTAGTGGACATGAAATGCCCTCATTTTATTGTACATTCCCACGACCTATTTTATGAATAGAAAGGAAGTATTATTGTAACTGAATAGATTTAAAACAATAATATCGGTGAATGTTGCAAGAACAGTTATAATAATATTTTTGAAACTGTAACCTATCTAAAGTATTCATCTTAATCGAAACATCAAATAATTATGTAGATATAAATTTTAATAGGCACATTACTAGTCCTATCATAAATTAAAACGTTATTAATGTCTGCATTGCAGGATATATACCTTTTCCTCAATAGAAGCAATTATGAATCAAAGTATTAGCGACGCACGTAATATTTGGTTTCTTAAAATGACTTCCTCAAAAGATTTCATTAGACTACGTTTCAAAGAAAAAAAAAGTACTTTAGCATGTATACTACATAATAATAAAAAAAACATAACAAACAAAACAGATACAATTACAAAATTTAAGATATTAACACAAACAAACAAAAGCAATGTAGGATCATTAATTTCGCTAAGTAAGAACACGACACGTTTTTATTACGAAATTTAATGATATTGAAGTATGTACCTACACTGTAAAGTTAGTTAAGTTGGTTTACAACTGATATCACTAAATGATTAACACATTTTAAACAACTTACAAAGTTTGTTCGAATAAAAAATAAAAGTATTACCACATTCAAACATCAAAAAATTATAAATGATCGTGACTTTGAATGTGAGTGATGTGAGTTTTATATGATAACATTTTTATGTATTTAATACCATTCCATACGTAGAACACTATATATGTATCAAAATTATTAAAGCTTGTAGAATATGTTTATCTATCTGGTTTTTAATAATGTGAGGCATTTTTAATTATTTAAAATTTTTGATTTAATACTATTTGAAATATCATCAATAAAAATAATATAAAATAAAGGTCCCAAATGCGATCCTTGTGGGACTCCAGATGGAACATTTCTATATTAATTGATGTCCATTTAAGGCAAACAGTTGGGGATGATTTCTTATGTATGATTCGTAATACCTTAAAAGTAATCCATGTATAATAATATCTTGACGACTTTCTCGTACGCACACACAACTGCCAATAGCAATTAAATTAGGGGAACTATATCCATTAGGATAAAAACCTTCTTGTTTTCTTCCGTGTATTAAAAACAATAATTAGTGGTGTACAGCTGACGCCGACAGACGTATTGAGATCACTTGGACCGCGAGTTAATGCGACGCCGCGCGGCTGCAGGGAGGCACATTCATGAACACAAACTAAAAAACAACCACGTCCGATCGCTCCGTGATTCAAAGTACCGTCTCTCATTGTTACGTTGTACTAATAATGAATTCATTAAATGTTCCACGATATTTAATAAGTAAAAAACGACATGACATAAACTTTATGATGACCGTGTTCTTGATTTTTTCGACTAATTCAAATGAGATGGTGTTACGATGGATAGTAGATATAATTCTGTATTATTTTTTTGGCGTGTTTGCTTTGTTAAATGACAATCAGAGAATATAATTGAGATGTCTTAGTGCTTGTATTGTTAATAATATTTTAAGTATAACAATTGATTAGGAGAAAGTGGAGGAGAAAGATAACAATAACAATTGGAAATACATCCAAAATCTTGGGATATAAGATACATTGAACAGCATATTAATCAAAATATTTGAAAATCCTTTAGACACCTATGTTGATTTTATATTCTACAATCTCAGCCACACAAAGTGAATAAAACAAATCTTTTAGTTTCCCAAATATTCCAGGAATTGAATCTTATCACCGTCGTTAAGGGTCTGACCCTCCACGTTTATCTCTCGATGAACCACAATACGGGCTAACAAACGCTCTCGCGATAGGTGCGCCTACGCATCAACTATGATTTGTGACACCACTGTATATTACCTGACGGTTACAAACTATTCTTATAAGGGCATTTCAAGGATGGCATCAACACTTTTTATGGTGACAACTTATTTAAGTCTTTATTGAAGCAATTAAGTTGATGTGACACACTTTGGTCTAATTTACGTAAACACATTTTTATCTTAATATCTTATAGTGTAAAGAATTAGTAATTTGAATTTATTATATTTATCTCAATACTGGGTTTAGAACATTTGCACATATATGAACCTTTATAATTTGATGATAGAAAGCTCTTTTGTTATCAATAATATAAAAATATTGAGTATGATGATTTTATGAAGAAATCAATAGTAATATTAACAGGCCACATTATTCGAATCAGTTAACGATAAATTTTAAACAATTATATTTAAGTTTAAAATTATATCTAACTCGCCTTATCACATTACTGGTTATGTGACCCTCTCTGACAGGCTATAACCATTACAGACTTAGCAGTCCTCTATTTAACTCAATTGATTTATAGTCCATGAGCCCATCACATAATTAACTTTTACGACCCTGCGTTACTTTGTGTTTCATTCATACTACAGCTATATTAATATATAACATATTCTTCAATTTCAGAATGCTTATCTGTTTCTGTAATAGGTATTGTTAAGAGCAACTTAAATATAACGACCTACAGAAACAAACAAAAAGTTATTAACTTCATTATTCAATGCCATTATAATACGTTTATAATCTCATTACTCTCAATGTTTACGCTTAAAAATAAACTTTTGATTATTGGGTACAATAATAAATCTTGTTTTGCTCGGGGGATATTTTTATTAGTTTTTTAGAGTAGCGTATTAAAAATGTTAATTCGCTCATATATTTCCATAAACATCTTATGGTTTAATCGGTTTATGACACGCGTGCATCAGATGTTCAAGATCTATGGATCTCTCCATAGTTTCGTAATTTGTGTAAGAATGTGGAGATCGTCTGGAACTGGTTTCTTGGACGTTTCCCATCTCTCGTGCTGAACGTGTTTTAATGACTTATGAATTGCCGAATGCGTGATGATGTGTTTGATAAGTGTTCATATTTTATTGTTTTCTTTATTTTTATAGCTGTTACCAATCTGATGTATTTTTTCTAAGTATAATAATAATATTAACCATAAACTTGCAAAATAAAAAATTTATAATTTAAGCTATGGTATTAATTATCATATCACCTCGATTTAATTTTACGGAAGGGCACAGGGGAGTTTTAATGATATTCAAATCGAAAGTAACAAAAAAGGCTAAACACACCAAAACACAGAATACTGACCTTTACATTCATTAGCATCTCTGACGGTGGCGCGTCCCCAGGGTCTGTCGAAATGAAACGGCTTGCAGCGCTCGCAGTCGCGGCCGGCGGTGTTGTGCTTGCAGTCACAGACCAGCTGCTGCGTAGCACCCTCCTGCTGCATCACACACCGGGAAGCATGACCGTTACACTTGCATCTCCCGCCCACTGCGAAGTCCGAAACAGCATAATGCTGCGTCCCTGGAGCCGCCTGCTTTTTAGGGTCAATCTCATCCCCTTCGTTCACCATATGCAACCGGTTAAACACAACCCTCACATCCGTCGCGGTCACCCAATCTTGCAACACCGGTGACACATCAAAGTTCGCAGCACTCGGACGGCCTTCTAACGTGCTGAATGCCAACCGTGACCCAGCTGCATTATCTCCTGCCAATCTATGCGAATCTGAACACCTGGCCTCTTGCTCGTTGGCAGCTGTAACAGTAGCCTTATTAGGTCTTCCGTATACTCTACGACACTGGCTGGAGTAGAACTGGAAGGGTTGCCAAGTGACGCCGTAGTCAGCACTCTTGTATATCGCGACAGAATCAGGCCGAGCCGCTTTAGGACAAAATTGGAGACTGACGTATGTTAGCTCATATTTCTTTCCCAATGATAGGGTTAAGGAAGAAACCGGGAGTATGTCAAGTTCTGCATTAAGTGTTTTTATCTAATAAGTAATTTATCAAACAATAGCATCAGCCGATATTATTAGATTTTATTAAAGACATATAGCGTAATTCACTTAATATATTATAATATGATAAATGATGACAATAACAACACCTTTCAGAGGATTATGATGTAAGATGTATCAACAGAATGTACCTATATATCATAAATATTGACCACACAATCATAACCATATTTCAAAATTCAAAAACGACGTCTCACTATAAAATTGAATATTGTGGAACGGCAATTCTTACCTGTTAAGAGTACCATAATGGTTCGGTCTCAGCATTTTCCTATTACGACTTTAAACGACAATATATCAGGATAGGTGTCTCCAACAAAACGAACCAATAATACATTTTTTTCGCTCTTTCTCCTCTTGTAGTGGACATGAAATGCCCTCATTTTATTGTACATTCCCACGACCTATTTTATGAATAGAAAGGAAGTATTATTGTAACTGAATAGATTTAAAACAATAATATCGGTGAATGTTGCAAGAACAGTTATAATAATATTTTTGAAACTGTAACCTATCTAAAGTATTCATCTTAATCGAAACATCAAATAATTATGTAGATATAAATTTTAATAGGCACATTACTAGTCCTATCATAAATTAAAACGTTATTAATGTCTGCATTGCAGGATATATACCTTTTCCTCAATAGAAGCAATTATGAATCAAAGTATTAGCGACGCACGTAATATTTGGTTTCTTAAAATGACTTCCTCAAAAGATTTCATTAGACTACGTTTCAAAGAAAAAAAAAGTACTTTAGCATGTATACTACATAATAATAAAAAAAACATAACAAACAAAACAGATACAATTACAAAATTTAAGATATTAACACAAACAAACAAAAGCAATGTAGGATCATTAATTTCGCTAAGTAAGAACACGACACGTTTTTATTACGAAATTTAATGATATTGAAGTATGTACCTACACTGTAAAGTTAGTTAAGTTGGTTTACAACTGATATCACTAAATGATTAACACATTTTAAACAACTTACAAAGTTTGTTCGAATAAAAAATAAAAGTATTACCACATTCAAACATCAAAAAATTATAAATGATCGTGACTTTGAATGTGAGTGATGTGAGTTTTATATGATAACATTTTTATGTATTTAATACCATTCCATACGTAGAACACTATATATGTATCAAAATTATTAAAGCTTGTAGAATATGTTTATCTATCTGGTTTTTAATAATGTGAGGCATTTTTAATTATTTAAAATTTTTGATTTAATACTATTTGAAATATCATCAATAAAAATAATATAAAATAAAGGTCCCAAATGCGATCCTTGTGGGACTCCAGATGGAACATTTCTATATTAATTGATGTCCATTTAAGGCAAACAGTTGGGGATGATTTCTTATGTATGATTCGTAATACCTTAAAAGTAATCCATGTATAATAATATCTTGACGACTTTCTCGTACGCACACACAACTGCCAATAGCAATTAAATTAGGGGAACTATATCCATTAGGATAAAAACCTTCTTGTTTTCTTCCGTGTATTAAAAACAATAATTAGTGGTGTACAGCTGACGCCGACAGACGTATTGAGATCACTTGGACCGCGAGTTAATGCGACGCCGCGCGGCTGCAGGGAGGCACATTCATGAACACAAACTAAAAAACAACCACGTCCGATCGCTCCGTGATTCAAAGTACCGTCTCTCATTGTTACGTTGTACTAATAATGAATTCATTAAATGTTCCACGATATTTAATAAGTAAAAAACGACATGACATAAACTTTATGATGACCGTGTTCTTGATTTTTTCGACTAATTCAAATGAGATGGTGTTACGATGGATAGTAGATATAATTCTGTATTATTTTTTTGGCGTGTTTGCTTTGTTAAATGACAATCAGAGAATATAATTGAGATGTCTTAGTGCTTGTATTGTTAATAATATTTTAAGTATAACAATTGATTAGGAGAAAGTGGAGGAGAAAGATAACAATAACAATTGGAAATACATCCAAAATCTTGGGATATAAGATACATTGAACAGCATATTAATCAAAATATTTGAAAATCCTTTAGACACCTATGTTGATTTTATATTCTACAATCTCAGCCACACAAAGTGAATAAAACAAATCTTTTAGTTTCCCAAATATTCCAGGAATTGAATCTTATCACCGTCGTTAAGGGTCTGACCCTCCACGTTTATCTCTCGATGAACCACAATACGGGCTAACAAACGCTCTCGCGATAGGTGCGCCTACGCATCAACTATGATTTGTGACACCACTGTATATTACCTGACGGTTACAAACTATTCTTATAAGGGCATTTCAAGGATGGCATCAACACTTTTTATGGTGACAACTTATTTAAGTCTTTATTGAAGCAATTAAGTTGATGTGACACACTTTGGTCTAATTTACGTAAACACATTTTTATCTTAATATCTTATAGTGTAAAGAATTAGTAATTTGAATTTATTATATTTATCTCAATACTGGGTTTAGAACATTTGCACATATATGAACCTTTATAATTTGATGATAGAAAGCTCTTTTGTTATCAATAATATAAAAATATTGAGTATGATGATTTTATGAAGAAATCAATAGTAATATTAACAGGCCACATTATTCGAATCAGTTAACGATAAATTTTAAACAATTATATTTAAGTTTAAAATTATATCTAACTCGCCTTATCACATTACTGGTTATGTGACCCTCTCTGACAGGCTATAACCATTACAGACTTAGCAGTCCTCTATTTAACTCAATTGATTTATAGTCCATGAGCCCATCACATAATTAACTTTTACGACCCTGCGTTACTTTGTGTTTCATTCATACTACAGCTATATTAATATATAACATATTCTTCAATTTCAGAATGCTTATCTGTTTCTGTAATAGGTATTGTTAAGAGCAACTTAAATATAACGACCTACAGAAACAAACAAAAAGTTATTAACTTCATTATTCAATGCCATTATAATACGTTTATAATCTCATTACTCTCAATGTTTACGCTTAAAAATAAACTTTTGATTATTGGGTACAATAATAAATCTTGTTTTGCTCGGGGGATATTTTTATTAGTTTTTTAGAGTAGCGTATTAAAAATGTTAATTCGCTCATATATTTCCATAAACATCTTATGGTTTAATCGGTTTATGACACGCGTGCATCAGATGTTCAAGATCTATGGATCTCTCCATAGTTTCGTAATTTGTGTAAGAATGTGGAGATCGTCTGGAACTGGTTTCTTGGACGTTTCCCATCTCTCGTGCTGAACGTGTTTTAATGACTTATGAATTGCCGAATGCGTGATGATGTGTTTGATAAGTGTTCATATTTTATTGTTTTCTTTATTTTTATAGCTGTTACCAATCTGATGTATTTTTTCTAAGTATAATAATAATATTAACCATAAACTTGCAAAATAAAAAATTTATAATTTAAGCTATGGTATTAATTATCATATCACCTCGATTTAATTTTACGGAAGGGCACAGGGGAGTTTTAATGATATTCAAATCGAAAGTAACAAAAAAGGCTAAACACACCAAAACACAGAATACTGACCTTTACATTCATTAGCATCTCTGACGGTGGCGCGTCCCCAGGGTCTGTCGAAATGAAACGGCTTGCAGCGCTCGCAGTCGCGGCCGGCGGTGTTGTGCTTGCAGTCACAGACCAGCTGCTGCGTAGCACCCTCCTGCTGCATCACACACCGGGAAGCATGACCGTTACACTTGCATCTCCCGCCCACTGCGAAGTCCGAAACAGCATAATGCTGCGTCCCTGGAGCCGCCTGCTTTTTAGGGTCAATCTCATCCCCTTCGTTCACCATATGCAACCGGTTAAACACAACCCTCACATCCGTCGCGGTCACCCAATCTTGCAACACCGGTGACACATCAAAGTTCGCAGCACTCGGACGGCCTTCTAACGTGCTGAATGCCAACCGTGACCCAGCTGCATTATCTCCTGCCAATCTATGCGAATCTGAACACCTGGCCTCTTGCTCGTTGGCAGCTGTAACAGTAGCCTTATTAGGTCTTCCGTATACTCTACGACACTGGCTGGAGTAGAACTGGAAGGGTTGCCAAGTGACGCCGTAGTCAGCACTCTTGTATATCGCGACAGAATCAGGCCGAGCCGCTTTAGGACAAAATTGGAGACTGACGTATGTTAGCTCATATTTCTTTCCCAATGATAGGGTTAAGGATACATTATCTGGTGGTGAATCGTAGGATGCGGTCGGGAGGGCAGCGGAACGCCAACAGGTAACATCGTTGGGATTGTTGAGGTCAGTGAGGTGTTGTGGTAGTTGACGGCGGTCGGATCTGGCGGCGTCGCAGACCCGACAAGCGGAGTCGGGAGGCTGGTCACCGGGCGGATCGCAGAGACGTTCAGGACCCCGACGGCCACAAACAGAGGATACGATAACTGGGGCCCCGAAAGCGGCGTTGACGAAGTCGGGGATGCAACGGCGGGGGCGGCCGTCCTCATAGCAGGGATCGGGCGGGGAGGCCGCGAGCGCCAGGGCCGCGGCGGCGAGGAGGGCCAGCGCGCGGGCGGGCATCGCACTAACTCACTACACACTCACAAAACACGTGCGCGCCGGTCGGAGGCCGCCGGCTGACTGCCGCTTGCTAGCCGCTAGCCGGCCGGCGAGCGGGGCGCGGAGCTTTGCTGAGCTTTTTCTTGCACATATTGAGCGACTTTGTTGTTGGTGAAAGTTTGTTACTATTTATCACGCAAATAGATAACGCAATGGCAACAGGTAGCGTATTATTTTATTTTGTTACAGGTACCTGAAATGACATTGTTGCGTAAACACATTTTCTATATTGTTTTCATATTGTTGTTAGTTATACATAAAACAACTACCTACATATGTTAAATACAAGACATTCACATTTCACAAAATGAATCTAAAAATATTATCAAACTTAATGATCTGGTTAATGTTACTACTTATCTATAACAAAAAGCCGATTAAAATGGTCTTATTTTTTAAATTGATAACACGTTCCCCCATTGTCTTCGTTAGCTTTCCACGTTTCTAATTTATTTCTCATCTTCACAAGATTGTACATCTCTCTCCTAAACACTTTTTTTTAATCGTCGTCACTTCAAGATTCAGCCCTTTCTTATCTCACACATCATATATCACACACTCTATCCGGCATTCCTTCTGTTTCCCTCTTCGTACATTTTCCTGAAGTCCAATTCTATATGTGTAGTTTTATATACGCTCTGTATTAGCGAAAAAGTAATAAGTGCTTAAAAAAATTCGTCAGTCCTGTTAGGTCCCGGGTAGCTCAGTGGTTAGAGCAGTTGTTCGGATTGCGAATGGTTCAAATGGGTTCAAATCCCATTTCGGTGTTCCAAAGTGGTATTTTTAAGAATTTTTCATTAAGGATAATTTTGAATATTCTTTTAATTTTATCAAAATCACATGCGTGAAGATTATCTGTGCATTAGAGCCAGTGTCAGATCCTAACTTCACTGAACATAAATTATGGAGAATGGGTTTTCCGAAAATACACAAAGTTCACTTTTTGTGTCATTCTCACATCGATATAAAACAAAGTATGTTTTTATATCACATTCAATTCCATATTATTTTAATAGTCATTAAAAGTAACTATACCACTCAGACAAAGTCGCGGGCAAAAGCTAATTTTGTAAAATATCTGTATGAGAAACAAATAAAGATTGTTTTAATTTGGACATATACTTTTTAAAAATATTCTACATTTACAAATCATAAAATATTATTAAAAATCTGTCATAATTAAAAATCTCCCATGGTATCTTAGTGTGAACACTGTCATCTCTAGACGGCGCGGGGTCTTTAAAACGCGGAACTCTACGCATTACCTGAACACCGAACCATAAACACCCCTCCTCAATTTCTATGCCCCACTATCAACCAGATTTATTGCTTACTATAATTATTAGTATCACAATAAAATTCGTCTTCTGTGACTGTTTTGTGATTAAATATGATTTGAAGTTTATTTGACTACAGTTTAACAAATCACACTCGATTCGATAAATGTTGTATGTTCTATACCTAATATTCACCAGGCCTTCTTTATGAATGCTTAAAGAGGATGGGTCATAACCCTCCACGCTAGCCTAATGCAGATTGGGGGGTATTAACGATTTTAAAAGCATACAGTACCAACGGTTTAACGTGCCTTCCGAAGCACGGAGTGGCGATATAATAATAAATTCTGGTCACCCAACCCGTGACCGACTTTTGCGAAAGTTGCTTAACAACAATGATCGCGGACCGCGGTGTTTATCACTACACTACCGACCTACTCTTATCGTTGTCATGGTCATCGTCACCAACATATTAATATCCTCATTTTTATTGATGAAATAAGTCTACTTTGAAATTTATTTCCTAAACTTTTGGAATAATAAATGTTTATTTTAAATGTCTACTCAACTCAACAGGTCTACAAAAAATCTTATTTTATACCTTGTATTCTAATTTATTTCTGACAATAATTTGGTGTAATATTCTATTTCAATTTACTTCTGACAATAATTTGTTATAGAAATAATTTCTTCGATGCCAAAATGAAAACAAACCATATGATGTTGTAGCTAGCTGCATAGTTATCCCGCACAACTCATTACAACTAAATAAATAGGATTTTACGTAATAATCTTTACCTCAGCGAAAGGCTCGATTATCGATATTTGAAGTTGTGAACGCAAAAAATCCGTAAAACAACTGTGTAGTAGTATTTATTTAATTCTTGCCGAAACATTTGTTAATCATGAAGGTATGTTATTCACAATAAAAACTGTAAAAAAAAGGGTAAAAAAGGATTAGAATCGTATAAAAATAAATCGTACAAAGAGAACTTAAACTGTATTGTAATTTTATTCTATCTGCCGCTGAATATGGCATGGCAAAGTATATGTACTATATCATGTTCGGTTAGATCAACAGCCACATCTAAATAAAATTGCGTGGGCAGAGTACAAACTGCATCTATTAAACCAAAATGGCGGATGCAACAGATAATCATGCTAATTTAAAACGCTTTATTATTTTAGTTTTCTAGTCAGATCTAAAAAAGAAAGTGAAATAAACCATGTCTTTTATTACTATCGTAAAATTTTCAGATTTAATAGCTCTTTAAGTATGCGATCACAAGCTGACAAATTGTCACTATTTGGATGTACTGAGAATCTTAACGATTGATTTTATTAAATTATATTATAACTAGCTTTCCGCCAGCGGCTTAGCTCGTGTGGTCCCTAGGGAACTGTTTATTTAGATATCGATTTATATCATGACACTAACGCGACACGAATTATAATGACATGATTACAATGACAAATTGAATAGTAAACAATGGTTACTACGGTAACCTTTTAATTCCCTATACAAACTTCCACTCCCATTTTCATTCCTTTATTTGCTGTTTTTTGAAATAGTCTATGTTCGCTACATAGGAAGTAGTTTCCCTTAGGAGAAAGAATTTTTAAAACCATCTGGTTTGGGGGCCTAAACAAACAAATACAAACTCTCAAATCTTTCGTCTTTATAATAGTATAATCACTAATGGCATAGCCTAAATATATAAGTCCATGCTAATTATATTTTTAATTAATTACCTATAACAAAACCTCAAAAGCAATATTTCTTTAAAAAAGTAACTTTCAAACATTTATTTACTGATATTATGATTCTTTTGGTGTACAGTATTCGTAAATAAAAAAAGAACAATTATTAAGCTAAACAATTATTAAATATAAACAATTATTAAGAATAGGTTAGAACTGTGTCCAGCCTAAAATCGAGTAAACTATCTATATCATTTGTGTCTTTAAAAAATGTATATGCTACAGACGATTTTGTCTGGGATCTTTCTACTAAATGATGGTTCTTCTTTTTAATTATTGTATACGTACACAGAACACAGTTCTGTGGGTTTGTCGATCTGGCAATCCTATATGCGCCTAGGTAAGTACGTGTATACGTAAATATAAAAGGTGATTCTGACATTAAAAATTAAGAGTTTCAAATGTCAAAACAGCATACCTTAATCAAACGACTTATTGAAAAAAGAAGTTTATACAATTTTATGTCCTGCATAATACATTATGATATAAAAATTCTGCTATAAAAGGGTAACCCGAACCAAACACCTGTTTTTCTATCTACGTAATACAAATTTTAATATTTTTCCTAAATTATAACATTGATTCAAAGATTATGAATATTCTTTAATTCAACATTAATACCGACAAAAATAAATAACTTTAAATTTACAATGTTCAATTGAAATAAAAAAGCAAATTTAAACCTTTTGACCTTTCTATCAAATTATATAATAATTAACACAGACCATGTTTGTTTGTTCAAATGTCTATTATAAGAGTGAAAAGTCTCTTGTCCGCGTCTGTCCCGGACAATGTAACTCAATTAACAAGCTCTACCTTTCGGTGCGTGTAATTATACCCTTATCTCGTAGGACAGCGCCGGACACCGCCGGACGCGGCCGGACGGCGCGCTGGTAATTGCTCTTTGCCCGGGGGTAAAATCACAAAACGGTAGATTAAGTTCCTTCATCAAAACATAAATTATGTACAACCCTTACTTTATTATTTAAAGATAATAAAACAGAAGAATAACGTTAAATATATTAATTCATTCGATACAATCGTTTGAAACAATATATAAAAAATATGATAATATGGATAATAACCTTCGATAGGTATAACAAAGAGAAAAATCGTTTAAAATCGTATCCCGATTATTCAAAGACTCCTGGACCAATTTGGATTATTCTTATTTTACTCCAAATGGTACACTTCTCAAGTGGTACCTTCATATGTAAACATTTACAATCTACATAGGAACTTGACGAAATGAGATCACCTTAGGCAACCAATCACACTGTATCGTTGTACACTGTCGGCCGATACGACCCATGTAACGGAACTTAAATTCGACAGCGGCATCAGATAGGTGCACCCTTTTCACCGACCTTCACGTCCGTTTCCGATTCCTACGGGACGTCATTCGACACGTTCCTGTTTTGAATAAGCCAACTTTGTCAGGGATCCGATTAAATTTTGATTAATGCTCACCATTTTTGATTAAACTTTTATTGACTTACTGCCGAACGGTGATTTGATTTGCTACACGTTGAGTATTCGCAATAGATAAATTTTTATACTTTCGAGAATTTATTTTGGGTACCGCAAAAGGTGATATAATATACTCAGTCTAGCCAGCCCATATTGCTGGAGCAAAGGCGTTCCCAGTGAATACTACGGATTGGTAGTTGTTAACGACGAATTCGAGATAGTAAAATTTAGATCACCCATCCTACTACTAGCCCTTGGGAAGTTGCTTAACTTCGGCATTGTAGACCGATTGCCATCGAACTCCACAAACGAGAAAAATACAAGTAATATTTGAATTTGTCATTATTTATAAATATTCGCCTCAATCGGTGTTAAATAATGGAGTGGTGCGGATGTAATCAAGGAAATCGAGATAAGCAATAGATATGGCGCCTAATGCAATTTTTGAATCCC